GCAAAGATGGGGAAGAAGAACTAAAACACATCAAGGAAGCTCTCTGTCAGCCTCTACTTTGCTTACTTGCTATCGGCTGCCATAGTAATGGGGGGGATGGGGGTCATGGTATTTGGGAGGGAATTACTAGGTACTGGAGGAGTTATCATGAAGGGAGGTTTGTCCTCACTATCTTCTGCGCATGCTGATGGCTCGTGTTTGGGCTTGGTCAAGGTCAACCATCTCTGCATACTAGCTGAATGAGGCCGCTTGAAGATGCACCCCACATGACACCTTTGGGAGTTGCAGATTGGACATTGGGTATGGGGAACTGGGGGGAGGGTCTTGGGCAAATGTTTGATATGTACACGTTCACACTTTTTTGCTTCAGATCTTGCTTCACTTTAGCTGTTTTCATTTCATGTCCAGTAAAAATATCTTTATCTCTATTCAAATGGAGTTGGGGGGTTTCTTTCTTGGATATTGAATGAGGCACGCCTGACATTCTCAGAAAATGTGACTATCCCAAGTGGGCCTTCATCAAGTCTCAAAAAAGACCCAACAGGAGTTCCTCCATAACAGACATGAGAACAATAAATGAAGCAACGTCATTCCATACGTTGCAGCTATATCGGAAAAGCTCAGGAGCTCAGGAGGATTTTCAGCCAACACAACTTACATGCAGACTTCAAACCCAAGAATACACTAAGGAAGAAGCTTGTCCACCCCAAGGACAAAATACCCAGACACAAACTGAACAATGTGGCAGTACAATGCAGTGAGCCATGTGCAGATCTGTACATTGGGGAAACAAAACAACCACTTTATAAATGCATGGTGCAACATATGAGAACAAACCCACCAGGACAAGATTCAGCAGTCCATCTGCATTTAAAAGACAAATGCCACTCTTTTGACAGCAAGTCCACATTTTGGACAGAGAGGACCTCTGGTTTGAAAGAGGGGTCAAAGAGGCCATCTATGTCAAAATTGAACAGTCCTCTCTCAACAGAGGGGGAGGGATACATCATGTACATCAGTCTACAACACAGTCCTTTCAACAGTTCCAAGAAGACTCCACATCTGTTTGCACCATTCAGGTGACCTTGATGACATACATAAAGTTCCAGGTGGCCTCAATGGCTCTGTAAAATAATGCAAATGACCAGCTGTCTGCAAGGAGTATAAATCCTTCCATTCCCCACCATCCAGTCAGAGGTGAAGAAGCTTCTTGGATGAGAAGTGAAATGTCTTCAAAGAAAAACAAGAAAGTCCAGTTGCCTCTTGAAAACGCACCTTTGGGACAACCATGACCCGGATGACTGAGAATCTCCATAGACACTTATCTCACTAGAGTAAACTTTGCATCAAAAAATATATTTGATTTCTAAGTTTTCTCTTCTCTCCAAGTCCAGTCCCCCCCCCCCCCAATTCAGGTTTTTCCTTGTGGGTGCAATTCTGTGCATGTTTAGGGGCTTTTTAAATACTTTTAAATTGATTATTTAGGTGAGCCCTGCATGCCAGCCTCATACTCATTAAACTATTGGAATATATTGAATTTATCCACTGTTGGTTCTGATCCAGTATTTCATTGGACATTTTTTGTTGTCATTTCTTTTTTGTTTTCACTTTTAAGTTCAGAATATTTGCTTATACAATTTACTCTGCTTTTTCCTATGTGATTCTTAATAGGCAAAATAAGTCTGGTATACCCCAGAGGTGGGTTCCTACCAGTTCAGACCGGTTCGGCCGAGTAGGTAGTAACTCGGCCTGCCACGCCCCCAAACCAGTTCTATCGTAGGTGCCGCCATGTTGTTTTTTGCTTCTGCACATTCTGCAGCTGCCAGAACCCACCCCTGGTATACCCCAACATATTTTTAGAATATCATACTAATTTAGAGTTTTGGCTTGATACTTAAGTGGGAGCTATGTTGAAATAAGGTGACCAGATTTTCAGATTGGNGCTGGTTTTCAAAAAAGCATGTTTTTACAAAAAATGTTTTTACCTGTCACAGGTGTGGCATCTATGTAATATACGTATATAAAAACATTCGTGTATTCGAATACAACATTGTGTCAAAATTTCAAAGCAATTGGTGAAGAACTTTAGATTAGCGATTTTGAACAAAGAACCATTACATTTATTTATATAGATAGAAACAACAAATTCCTAGATTAAAGCCAATGCAACACACTCCTTTCATAAATGTTTGTGTTATTTCAGTCAGATGCCTTCCCCTGTCAATGACCATTGACACAACTCCAGGATAGCCCAGTTCTATTCTGGGAGTTTTTAGACCAATGAAACTCTTGGCTCTTAGAAATAAAAGCACTATTAAAAAATTATGACTGCTATTCAATAATGTCTTAGTGCAAGTCTCTCTGATGTTTACAGCAAGAATCCACTTTATCAATTTTGCTACCTTTACAGTGGACAACCAATAAGTGCCTTCTGTTGCATGATTACAATAAATGTAACCATTTTTGGGATGAGATACATGAACAAAACATAATTGCTATAGTTTGCCACCTGCTTTTCAAGGAATTATTGTGGCCAATGGTGGGATTCAAATATTTTTACTACAGGTTCCATGGGCGTAGCTTGGTGGTTGTGGCATGGCTTGGTCGGTGTGGATTGGTGGGCACTGCAAAATCCCCATTTCCTCCTGAACAGCTGGGATTCGGGAGACAGAGGGATAGATAGGGGCAGGGCCAGTCAAAGGTGTTATTTACCGGTTCTCCAAACTACTCAAAATTTCCACTACTGGTTCTCTAGAACTGGTCTGAGACTGCTGAATATCACCTCTGGCTGTAGCTGAGAAAAATAGTTGCTGCCAGCACTCACTGAAAGTGCTTTCATATGTCCTGGTTTGCAATTCCATCTTTCTGTCCAGGTAACAATCCAACTCTACAAAACATCAACACGATCCATTTGGAGTCCTACCCAAGTCAGAAAAGTGGGGCTGGATTGCGGGCAGAACCATCAATGCTATTTTTTAGCATAGTTAGATTGAAGGAAGATGTTGCTGTTAAAATGGAAAGGTTGTACATTTCAGTAAAGTACACTTGAATTAAATGTCCTCTCCTTCAGGCACATTGTGAATGCAGACACGCCGTGTTTTGTTTTGTTTTAAAACATCACTTCTTCACAGCTTCCATAGTCACTCTCCACCATGTCGGAGCCCTCGTAGTTAGAAGGCAATGCTGGCTGAGTTCTGACATTCGGTACAGGCCTGATTTCACAGTCTGCGTAGGAGGGCTGGGCCACACTAAGTCTCATGCTAACCCTCTTGTACCCATTGTCTGGATGGTAGAGTGGCCCTTCATTTTCTACCAATTGAGAAGGGTAGTAGCTGATTGCGGTGTATTCGTTCTGACACTGGGAAGAAGGTAATTCAGCAGAATCAGGGGGTAAGAAGTCTTCCAGATTTTGATTGCTGTAGCGAGGTGGAATAGGAGCCCGCTTGTTGTTTTGATCAAGTGGGAAAGGAAAGCCACCATACAGGCCAGCTGGATCTGAGTCTACAGGAGGAGGAGGAGGTCGATGGCACGGGGAAGGTGGAAGGGGAGTTTCAATAACTTCATATTGATGATATTCTTGAGTATCTGTTGACTGGTACCTTGGTGGCCAGTAGGTTGTTTCTCCTGGATACACTGAAATAAAACCAGAAGCTTATGAGTATCTCCCAATAAATGTGTAGCCTGCAAATAACTATTCCCTGCATCTTCATATTAACCACATATTTTTTCATAAGTTGGAGACTGAAGGTCTGCCATGGGGAAACTTGCTTCCTTAAATAGTATATAACTAAGACTCTGAACTATGTAAAATTGTAAAATCTGCCAAGCATGAATAAAAACTCTCAGAGAACATCTCACCAGGAGCTAAAATAATTTTTAAGGCCTTTAAGTGCTACTCTAGTTCTAATTTTGGAACAATACAGTACCTGGTATGAGAGAATTCTTGACAAAGATTTTTAACTGCATGAATCAAACTCACTGAGAGAATTAGGGACAGGATAAACAAAATATATTGATACATATTTTCAGAAGTGAATTACATGTTCTTGATCAATACTAAAACTTATCAGGTTTTTTCATTAGCACTACTGTTATTTGTTAGTCTTATTTATTGTATAAATGCTGTTTCCAACAGCTACTCAAGCTCACTGTATCCTGCAATTCTACTATTCCTGCGGATACACAAAACATCTTGTGCTGTTTTGTGCATCACCATTTTGACACTTAATAGGATAATATTCCATAAACCTATGTTTTTCCTCTTTCCTCACATTAAAAGTTATAATTCAGTACAATTTTGCCTTTTCCTCTGAATATTATTCTTGTTTCTAATTCTTTGATCCTTATTACTTTGTGCTTTGCCCAAGTTCATATAGAAATTGGTCTATGAAATTTCTCTTTCTGTTGTGATAAATGATATCTTTCTTTAACATGAGCTGTCTTTAATAGGAGGTGTATGCCCATTACTATAACTTTGATATTGAAGAATATTGCTGTAGGAAGAAATCAAGTCATAACTGGTGTATTAAGCTCATTTGAAAAATAGTTGAGAAACTTCAACACCAAACCCTGACTACATTTATTACTTAGATATGGGGTAGTCAACCTTTTTATACCTACCGCCCACTTTTNCCCAGTAAGGGTATGGCTAGCTGATGAGAGCTAAATAGCTTGAAATAGATCTATGCTAGTCTCCCTTTATTTATTTATCAGCACAAATACAACAAGTATGTATATATCTGTATACAAGGTTGTACTTTCACATTCTTCAATGACACACCTGGATGCCTTGATATGCGCACATCCATGCTTTTTAACGTATTGCAAAATTGCATGCTTGTAGGGGACCACAAAGAAGAGGGTGGGCAAATCTCGATCGAAAGCATCCCAGGCTGAAATGCAATCAACAAATCTACACTCCCCAAGGCGTATTTATTTATTGATTGCCTATAATTTTATTCCAAGCTCCCTCCTCATATTCACGCCCTTATGGGAGAAGAGGCTCGCGCATGCGCAGGCGCCCCCGTCCGCCGTTACCCGGGCCCATTTCTCCGCTCTTCTAAACCCTGGCCACGCCTCCTCCCTTTCGCCATGCTTTCATCCGGGCTTCTCGGCTCCGTTCGAACGCGCTGACGTCACTTATATAAAGGCCCTCAGTCCCTTTGTTCCTCTTCAGTGCGTCGTCGCAGGCCGGCAGGGAGGAGGTAAGGATGCGAGGTAGCGGCTGAGGGAGGCTTTCTTTTTTTATTTTTTTTAATGAGGCCTTTTCGATATAATACGCATGCTTTTATTTTGTCTCACGCACACCGTTTAGCGGGGCCCCAAGGCCGTTCTTTATTTCGCTTCCCATCCCCCCACGCACACCCCTCAACGGTTTTCACCCTTCCCGCTTCTCCTCATGGGGGGTGGCTGAGGCGCCATTTTAAAGCTTGGGAAGTTAGGTGGGTGGCGGGAAGTGCTGGTTCTTTCCCCCCCCCCGCCGCCCCACTCGCTCCCCCAAAACGCGGGCTCCTCCTCAGGGAGGGTCTCTGGAGCCGCCATTTTGCGGCCGCCTTTAGAGGCGCCTCGATGCTTCGCACGCCCCCGCCCCCTTCTTCAAGGCGCGTGGGACGGCGGGGGGGGGGGAAGGGCGACGGGAGTGCGCACGCGCTGCTCTTTCGAGAGGCCTCTTTTTTGCGGAGGGCGCATGCGCTCCGCGCAGTCCGTTCGGCCGGCGCGCGTGCGCGGTTTGCACAAAGGCTCCGGCCTTTGTTGCTTGCTATAATCGAACGTGCGAATTGCTTTTCCTAAAGGTTGAGTGTTGTTGTTGTTATTATTATTATTATTGCTATTATTATTGCTATTATTATTTCTGGCTAAATTCGAAAACTGAATTTCTTGGAAATTTGCCCGGGTTCCTCAGCTAGGGGAGTTTTTTATCTTTTCTACCTCTCGCTTTGAACTTAAACCGTCCATTTATATTTTGGGATAAAACCCTGGCAGAAGGGAATGGCCGATGTGGTTGTGCCTTTAGCAGTCTAGATGCTTTTATTAGGTTGCTTGTTTGTTTGTTAAAGACAAACTGGGTGTTCTCCAGCAGTTTGTTCTTTTGGAACAGGAAAATAGTGAGAACTGTTCAGGGAACTATTAAAAACGGTCAGAAGAGAGTTGGATGCAGCTTTCATTCAATAAAAAGTGCCCAGAAATATTTTAATAGCTGCTGAATTTCACAATACTGTAGCTGGTATTTAGAGTTGGGGATTCTATATGTCTGGAGGGATTGGTTTGGACAGGCCAAGTCAGAAATTAAACTCATTTCAATTGTATTAGGACGGTTGAGCAATATTTGTAAAAAAAGGGGGCTGATACTTCAAGAAAAACAATTAGGGAATGAGGCTTAAAGGGACTATTATGAGGAAATGTGGTTTGTAATTGGCCATTCTTGGTTCATGCTGAAACTAGAAGAAACTTATTTTACCATGTCATATTGGAGTTTTTCCCCCCTTCTTATTGTAGCAAGAGGTTGGGCCACTTGTACTTTTTATAAAGTGCATTTTAGTGCAGCAGTAGGAATTAAGTAATTGACTAGTAATGAAAATGGGATGTTATTAGAATTGTCTTTTATATTCAGGAAATCCCAAGAATCATATTGCAGTTGTGTGTGGCTATATTTTTTTATGGTTTCTGAAAGTTGGTTGTATTGTTCTAGATTTCAAAATCTTCAAAATGGTTGAAGCAGATCGGCCTGGGAAGCTGTTCGTTGGTGGATTGAACATTGAAACGAATGAGAAAGCTCTTGAATCTGTCTTTGGCAAATATGGCCGTATTGTAGAAGGTAAGGGCAAGGCATCTTGGTGGGGTTTTCAGTTCTGCTGTGATGAACTCAGCTTTTTTGATCGGCTGAAGTGATAGAACTTACCTATCCTCTAAGAAGTTCTGAGCAGGCTTCTGTGAATCCTGGGTTGCACCCCTGTGAGATCAGCAAACAAAATAATGCTTGTATCTCTCTCAGTTCTCCTTATGAAAGATCGCGAAACCAACAAGTCCAGAGGCTTTGCTTTTGTCACCTTTGAGAGCCCAGCAGATGCTAAGGATGCAGCAAGAGATATGAATGGAAAGGTAAGATTTAATGTCTGGTTTTTATTGTGGTAAAACAAAGGAGAGTACTGAAATAGTTACAAAGGATCATGTCTGTTGATTTTCTAAGGGATACTTTAAGAAAATCTGTTGTCTTTCAAGTTGGATAGCAAAGGTTGCTTTCCACCACTTCTTAAAGCGGGAAAAATCCTTAGTATAAGTTTTTTTTTCAGTGGTAACAGTGCCATAAGAAACATGCCAGATATGTGCCAAATGCTTGTTGGATGCTCCTCAAAAGACAAGAGGAAAAGATGTCTGGTATAAACAGGACAGCCACGTGTTTACTTCTAAAGTGTTAGTATTGCAATTTGAAGTTAAAAAGACATGACTTAAAACACTGTAGTAATGTATTTGCAAATCCTACTTAATATTCTCTGGTTTAATGCAAATGCAATGACATAACCTTGCTAACTAACCAGCAGTCAATAAACAGCATTAGCATTCTGAGTCCTCTGTGTGCACTAACCAGCTAGAATTGGATGCTGATAATATTCTAAAAGTCAAAAAATGTAATAAGCCTAAAGGCAGGTGTTATTCACAAAGATTGAATTAGATGCCTTTGTTCAGTCTTTAGATGGAAAATCCATTAAAGTTGAACAAGCTACCAAGCCCACCTTTGAAACTGGTAGACGTGGGCCCCTCCCAAGGAGCAGAGGACCCCCAAGAGGCCTTAGAGGTGGAAGAGGCAGCAGTGGAACCCGGGGGCCTCCTTCAAGAGGCAGTCACTTAGGTATGTTTAAGTTCCTGTGTATTGACGGCACACAAGACGTAGAGAAGTTGAATGGAAAGAAGGAAAATAGCTGGACAGAAGGTAAATAAAAGTGCTGTGAGCAAGAATTATTACACTTCGAAATGCAAAAATACCCCAGTCACAGTCCAAGTAGCGCTTTGAGGTATCCATGCGATCTTGTTCTTAGAAGAGATTGGTGGTCTTTAAAGTCTGGCTTACCTGAACTTGTATTTTGAAAGCAGTTTCAGAGTAAATATCTAGAAGGCACCATACCTTCTATTTCTGCAGATTCCTGCCTTAATATGTCAGTTTCATATTGATAATCAACAGGTAATTTTTTGAATCAGAAACAAGCTGGAACGTTAGCCATTGTTTCCTCAAGGAGCATGTTTCTTGATTTTAAGCTGATGCTGATCAGGCCGTTGGTAGCTCCTGATCTGGATGGCTATTTGCTATCTCTCACAGCTCATCTTAAACTGTAAACAAGCTTCAACAACCAACAGACAGGGCATGCCTCTGGAACAGAGCTGTCATCCTAAGTATGCTTGATTGGCAACGATTGAATGCCTGCTGACCTGCATTCTCACCTGTGCTCTGAGTTTACAACAAGAACAAAGAGGCTCTACAGTTAGAAGATGGGTGTAGGTTACCAGTTTTAGCTGCTTGCTGCTTTTCTCTAACTTGTTTTGTTAATGGCCAGGGCCATACATATAAAATAGGTTTGTGCATAAATTGTTATATAGGTTGTGCCGGTTTCTATTTAGAGGCCTTGATCCAGAGGGTTGACTGTTTCTCAGGACAAAGGGAAACCTGAACATTCTCTCTCTTAACCCTTTTTCACTTCTGGTGCCTTTCAGCATCGTGATGATGTTTCTGAAGCTGTCCTATGCTGTCTTCTAGGTTCCTCTAGAGGCCCTCTCCCAATGAAAAGGGGTCCGCCTCCCCGTAGTGGGGGCCCGCCACCCAAAAGACCTGCGCCATCTGGACCTGTACGCAGCAGTAGCGGGATGGGTGGTAGAGGTAAGCCTTGTACAAATGCTGCTTTAGTTCGCTCATAAAGTTTTAACTTGAGGGCTAAGGCACATTCAGAATGTGGGGCTTTAAAATTCTTGGTGCTGTTGGTGAGGTTCTTTGCTTTCCAGGCACTGGATACACCACAGAATAGCAAATCTGTACAAAATACTTTTATTGCAACATGCACCTTACCCAGCAAGCTGTTGCTCTGGGTCAACTCTGCTCTTCTAGGCTTTGCAAGATGCTACAGCCATGTAAATGTGTCTAACGTTCAGTTGCAACTAAAATCTCTATGAGTAACATGCAACCTTTGCCGTCTTCCAAATGTTCTTGCACAGGTTGCAATGAGGTTGTGC